CGGAAAAAAGTTAGCCTAGACCAATTTTCTCATCTAACACGCCTATTCAACTAAGATTAAGAACTATCTTATTGAATCTAACATTAGAAAAAAACAAATTTCGCTACCAATTTAACTTAAGATAAACTATTGCTTTATCGAACCTAATAATCGAGAAAAAGTTCTGTCAATTCATTTGAAGATAAGCGATTGTTTTATCGGATCTGATATTAGAAAACAAAGATTTCTATTAATTTAACTTAAGATAAAAGAAACTACCTTATTGAATCTAATATAAGAAAAGCAGATTTTCTATCATTTTAGTTGAAAGTATGGGATTACTGTTTCGAATGTAAAATTAGAGAAAAAGCTTTCTATAACAGAATAGATGAGAATATTGAGTTTTTATTACTGTCTTTTCTGTCCTGGGAAAATAATATTCTGTATGCCAATATTTAGAAACGTTCATTTTTCTATCTTAGCTAAGCAGCAAAAGATGAATTTTCTCCATTGGGAATGAACGCTGTCTTTAATTTGACGATTTCGAATAGGACAGTAAACAATGACTATCTTTATTCTAAAGAAGGAAAAATATCAATTCACTTGGGAAAGTGTTATTTATTTAAAAAAAAGACTGATTTAGGTAATCAGATGGATAAGTAGAAAGGGTGTAAATGTGGGGTGTCACTATGGATGTAATAAAAGAAGATGATCGTCATGTACAGCCACACATCCCTTTTACATAAAGGTAGAATAATAAACTCTTTTAATGAAAGGGTAGAACAATAAACTCATGGCTGTAGAATAATAAACCCTTTTCATAAAAGAGTAGAGCAATAAACCTTTGATCGTAGAATAAAAAACCCTTTTCATAAAAGAGTAGAACAATAAACCCAAAGCCGTAGAATAAAAAACCCTTTTCACGAAAGAGCAGAACAATATACCCTTTTTCGCTAGTCATAAACCATTTTTATTTTTAAAAACCCTTTTTCTCAGAAACCCTGTCGCACAAAAACCCTTTAAGGGTTTAATACACCGGTATAAACCCTTTAAGAGTTTAGGAAGACTTTCCTAAAGTACTAGGGTTTATTATTCGACGAATTTTTTTTACAGTGTAGTTGATGAAGAAATAAGTTTACGAAAGATTCGAGTTTCACTTTAATCTGCAGATCACGTTTTATTCTCTTACTTATCATCAGTGGGCATAGTTATTGATTGAAACTCGGCACCGGATAACAAACAGGTAAATTTTGACATCGAGGATGATGAACACATCTATGTTCCGGTTCGTAGCAAATATGGTTTAAGCTTTCGCATGCAACTAGCACCGAACAGTCTACGAATTGATCGGGACAAATGCCAATATCAATAGCACCTGCTATATGGAAACAGACGCATTCAGGATTCGATGAACATTGATCATATTGAGAAGTTCCGTGGCATATTTGAGATTTCACTAGAGTTGTCGATATACTACATGAAAAGTAAGATATTTAAAACGAAACAAAAATTAAATCTGTGAATCTTCAAAGAAATATTGTTCAACATTAAATGAATACGAAAATAATAGGTTTTAGAATTACTTGAATAGAACGAATACGAAACAATGAATAACTATTGAGACCATCATTTGCGTTTAAATGACACAGAATACTGGCTGCAGTTACCTTTATACTTAATAAATAGGTGATGTTTTTTGCATTCGTTGATAGTGCAGAAGCGCAAGGATCGATCCTACGATACATAGAAATTCGATAGTGCTCCAACGCTTACTTCAGTAATTAATTTTTCTCCGGAAAAGTAATCTTCATAGAAGAAAAGAAGCGCAATAAAAGCAACATGGACTTGTTTTTACGACACAAACAGTCAATAGGCTCATGTCATCACTCTAAACATGAATATTGTTGTTCTCAATAATTGACTTGAGTGAATACGGATGGCTCAAGCAAACTGTGGTACGTTTCGATCTTGCTTAAGGATATTATTAGACGGTTTTGGACCCAGTAACTATTCCAATGGATGGCATATGAAAAGTCTGCTAGGGAGGGTGTGTGGGTGTGGGTGTTGGTGTTGGTGTGGGTGTGGGTGGGTGTGGGTGTTGATTTCTTCTCTTCCCACACCCACGACTGACGTGATAAATTTCAAACTCTATTCTATATGGACACATATCTCCTATTATTAGGATTTTCTGACTTCACTTTTGTCCTAGGATTTAGTACGATTCTCGTGATTTTTATATCTTAAAAGTGAAAAGTTTAATTCAGAGATGGAATGATAGTTTATATTTAAATAAACCATAAGAAATACATCATGGAAAGTAAAATCAATATTTTCTTTTTCTTTTCTATTCATATATCTGTGAAAAGCACAACAATCTATTATTCTGAGATCCATTTGAGTTCGACCTAGCTAGATTCTTGAAAAGTCGAACCTGAGACTATCAGATTGAACTTGTCTTTTCTTCAAGACATAGCTCGATCTGATATATGACTGGATTACTTTTTGATAGTATTCCATGCACGCTTTATTTCAAATGATATATCATGAAAAAAAAATGGATCACATTGTAGGGACGAAAACAAAATCTTTTCATATAAAGACCTTTAAAATGATGTCACACACTATATGGACGAAAACAAATTGTTTTTCTCATAGAAGATTTTGAAATGATGGTAATGAAAGTAACGTAAATTTTAGCCAATGCATGATGTTGATGAAGGAGGTGTACACGAAGAGGAACCTTCTTGACTTGTCCATCCATCTTGACATTTTTGACATGATATAGCCCCATCGTTACTATAAGTATTTTCCGGACATCTTTTAGAAGTTGATGTTGGGTGTAGGTGTGGGTGTGGGTGCGGGTGTGGGTGGGTGTAGGTGTGGGTGTGAGTGTGGGTGTGGGTGTTGAGAATAGATATAATCACACCCACACCCACACCTACGCCCACCCACACCCACACCTACGCCCACCCACACCTACACCCACCCACACTCACCCACACCCACACCCACCCACACCCGCACTCAATATGTTGCATTGGTAAACCTATATAATCAGTGGAAGTTTTCACATGATTTTCAGTCAGCACCATATTTGCTCCAATATCTACCCCGGTCCTACATTTTCCAATGTCACGACTCGCAAACGTGTCTAATAGTTCACATTTTCCGATTCTATTTAGAGTAATACGATCTTCATCTAATAATATGTGAATTCGAACGTGCTTTTTCATTAGTATTTCTATTCTCTTCTGGCATCACACGCATCGTCAATAAAATCATTTTCTGTGTTCATAAACACGCTTGGCTGTATTACTCTCACCGGATTCACGGACATTCTTGATAAGATTTGCGCGATTTAGTTCAGCACAAAGCCAGCTAAAACGATCTGACATAAACAGAAAAAACCGATTGGATTCGTGTACATGTTCAGGTCTATTCATGAAGAGCAAGGTATTTCTAATTAAATTAATTTTTTTGATAAAGATACTTTGGTGGCGGCCAACGTCGGCAGATCTATTTTCTGTTTATCAAATGAATCAACCAAACTTACATAATAATAGTATTTTTGATTGGGTTGATTGCTTATACTACAATGTATACGATAGTATTATTGATGAGCGTCTGCGACAATCACAAACGTATCAATGTGAACTCATTCTATACTGTATGCAAGATCAAAATGCATTAACTAGAGCTATTCCAAGTACTAGGCAAGGTAAACCATATACATTCTATCAATTACATCAAAACAATATTACCAGTGAAGAACTATATTCATGGTCAACATCCATTGATGTGGTAGAAGATTATGAAATCTATTTGAATAGCAAAATCAAAACTTCAGAAACATCACAAAGCGTATTCTACAATTGTTCATTGGGTTGGTTTGGACGAACATGTCAGTATACATTTATTAAAGGTTTGTCTTTCGTGCGACCAACATTTATCGATTTCGTAACGCAAGTTTTCGACGTCAAACGAACAGCTAGTGAGCTCTTATATCCAAATCCTAGTGACCACACAATCTATTCGTGTTATACACATATTAAATGTGAAAGAGATTTACCAGAGATTTGTCTCGATTGGCGTGAAATATGTGACGGTAAAGTTGACTGTGTGAACGGTGGTCAAGATGAAATGTTTTGTGCCGAATTGGAAATAAGTGATTGTGCTGAAAATGAATATCGTTGTCATTATGGTGGTCAATGCATACCTAAAGAAATGTTTCATGATGATGAATTCAATTCAGATTGTCTCGATGGTACAGATGAACCAGAACCATTTTTTGACTCAATCTGCGTTGGTGATCCATCTTTTCATTGTGAAGAAAGATCATGTCGATATTCACTATGGTTTTCGTGTGGTGATGGCCAATGCATCCAGCAGCCGTTTTTTTTCGTTATTGACTCAAATGATAATGAGGGTCAATACTGTCTGAATGGCCGTCATCGTTTCGTGCATCAAATTAGCCTTTCCAGAGAAGCGAATTCAATGATTACATATGACTGTTGGGAAGCAATGTTTTGCTATTATGATAGTGAGTCTAAGCTGTTTTCCATGTCGAATTGTTTTCAACATCCTTGTACAAATCGTATACTTACTACAACTTGTGCAAAAACGATCATGAACAGTTGTCAAACGACTCCACAGTTCGTTTTTCCTCAATCATCATTAGCATTTTTAGCAGAGATTGACCTTGTCTACGATATTAGTTTTCTCTTGAATTATACAGAAAAATATTGGAAACCTTCATATATATGTTTTCGAAATCAACGATGTAGCGAATTCTTTAATTCCTCAATAGAAATCGCTAATAAAAGTGCATGTCAACGTATTCCATATAGTTTTGGAGATTATAGTCGGATGTTCATAATGGGAGACTCATGGTATTATGGTTTGATCAATTTAGTTCGAACGTGCATGACAATTGATAGAACAGCATTCAATATGACACATTGTTTGGCTAATAATCTTGTTCATTGTCGATTCAATCAACGATGTATTTCCAAGTATCGTCTGTTGGACAGCATCGGAGATTGCTTTTCTAATGCGGATGAACGCGATATACTTAAAGAAACAAGTTGTTCAGTCAATCAGAAATATCGCATTGAATGTTTAGAAAAACAATATTTTATTATAACCAAGAGATGTTTATCTCCAATATTAACTATATATCCCTTCTATACTTGTTTGAATATGACTAGTGAAGTGAATTCAACCGAAAAAACTCAAATTCAAGTACCACCATTTAGTTATCTATGTGATAGATTTGTCGATATTGATGCAATCGATAATGAAACAGATGAAACTCATTGTGAAAATTGGCTATGTGACAATGTATATACACGATGTGATGGCGTATGGAATTGTTTGAATGGAATCGATGAAAGTAATTGCAAAGGTTCACCTTGTCCATCTTATACTCACCCGTGTCTTTTGCCAGCCAATAACACAATGATTTGTTTACCTCTATCAAAAGTAAATGATAATCATATAGATTGTCGAGGTGCAACAGACGAGCGTTGGTTTTGTCAACAACTATATCCAAGTTATACTACATCCCGTTACAAATGCTGGAATGATAGCAAATGTATCAATACAAGGCATCTATGCAATTTAGAACCAGATCATCCGTACGGTAGAGACCAGTTCATAGACTGTGATTTACATGAGGATGATGAACAATTTTGTCCAACACACTATACACCTTATAGTATTTGTGAACCGGAATATTCTGATGATCGAACGATCAAAGAGAAAATTCTTTGTGATTTAGCCGAAAAGTATCCTCGTGGTAGTGATCGATTGTATCGGGAAGACCTTCATCTCAAGTTAACCTATAGCGGGTATTATCCAACCGATTTATCAGATAAAAAAGAAATCACATTTGACATGAGTCAAAATTCATCTATCAAATTGATACAATTCAATAAACCTGCTTTACCTGAAATTGATTTTGAAACTGCATGGTTTTGCAACCGAGGTATTCCTATTATGGTAAGTTCACAACGATATTCAATGTGTCTTTGTCCACCAAGCTATTATGGTAATCGATGTCAATATCAAAATCAACGTGTAAGCTTGACACTTCAATTTCATACAATTCATTCTCCATTCATGTGGAGAACAATTGTATTTCAGTTTTTCATTATGTTGGTTGATGAAGAAAATACTATTCAATCATATGAACAAATTACTTATTCTCCCATACGTGATTGTAATATTAAATACAACATCTATTTACTATTTAAAGATCGACCAAAGAATCAATCGAAGACTTATAATGTACGTATAGATGCATACATCATGAATAATCTTACCTATCATGGAAGTTGGTATTTATCTATACCGTTTCCATTTTTACCAGTCAATCGTCTAGCTTCTATTGTTACTATTCCACTTCGAGCACAACAGATACAGAATGATTGCGATGAAAACATTTGTGGAAAGCATGGTCGATGTATCTATTATTTTTCATCGAATAATTTTTTTTGTCAATGTGATACTAATTGGAAAGGACGTTGGTGTCATTTAAAGAGACATTCCGATGACAAATGTCGTTGTTCACCGAATTCATTATGTATTGAGCCAGGCATTTGTCTGTGTACTTTAAATCGATTTGGATCTCGATGTTATTTAACAAGATCATCATGCAAATTAAATAGCTGTTCGAATCGAGGGCTTTGTCTATCGGATGATCAACGTATATCCGAATCTAATTTTACTTGTATTTGTAACGAAGGCTATTGGGGCAAAGAATGTGAAAAAATATCAACATTTGTTGATATTTTTTTCTCAAATATACCTATTCCACAGGCAATATATGCTCATTTAATACGAGCATACGAGAACAATACAGCAGCGCATCAACGAATAACTACATTTACGAAAATACCACTTGATCGAAATTTTGTAACATTAAAAATTTCTTCGTTATTTAACATTCTATTCATTGAATTTGATAAAGCATACTACTTAGCTGTTATTCAAGAAGAAATTCTCTTTCGAAATTATATTCGGACAGAAATTAATCCATCGCGACAGTGTTTATCAATTGATAAATTATTAAATTCACTAGAATTAACGTTATCTATACTTCATCGAGTGAAATACTATCATCGCATCTGTCAAAATCATCAACAATTCTCTTGTTTTTACGATGACATATACATGTGTTTATGTAATCTTGAACGACAAGCTAATTGCTTCTCATTTGATCATAACATGACATATGATTGTGCTGGTCGATTTTATTGCGAAAATCATGCTCAATGTTATCAAGATCATCCAACATGTCCAAAACAGTTGTTATGTGCTTGTCCAGATTGTTTCTATGGTGCGCAGTGTCAATTTTCAACAAAAGATTCCTCGTTTTCAATGGATATAATATTAGCTTATCACATTCGACCACATGTTTCGTTTGCAGATCAATCTTTTCCGGTCAAAGTTAGTCTAGCGATTACAAGTGTGATTGTTTGTTTAGGCTTGATTAATGGTATATGTTCAGTGATGACTTTTGCAAACAAGCGATTCTATCAAGTCGGTTGTGGTATTTATTTAATCGCGAACTCGATTGTTTCGTTTTTTCCAATAATTATGATTGGATTTAAACTTACCTCTCTCATATTGACACAAACGTTTGCCATTAAAAATCGAACATATATTTTAATTAGTTGTATTCTTATCGATTTTCTTCTTGATACTACTTTAAATATAGGGAATTGGTTAAATGCATGTGTGGCGATTGAACGAGCTATTAATATTTGTCGTGGAGTCAAATTCAACAAAAACAGAAGCAAAAAAATTGCAAAATGGACTATTGTTATTCTTATTCTATTTATTATCTTAACAGCATTGCATAAACCATTTTATCGTGAATTAATTAATGATGAAGATCAATATGATAGGCGCACATTATGTGTTGTTACGTACTCTCCTTGGATAAAACAGTATGATATAACGATTAATATTATTCATCTGTTTACACCATTTATTATAAATATTATCTCTGCATTAATAATCATCATTATTGCTGCTCGAAAACGTTCATCAGCTCAAACTCATCTTACTAGAAAGCAACATTTAAAAAAACAATTGGATGAACATAAACATCTATTGATTTCACCAATTATTCTAGTTCTATTGGCATTACCTCGTTTAATATTAGTACTCTTTTCAGGTTGTATGAAGTCGGTTCGTAATCCATGGTTTTTCCTTACTGGCTATTTTGTTTCTACTTTACCTTCAATCTCTATTTTTATCACATTTGCACTGCCTTCGAAAATGTATAGGAAAAGCTTTACCGAAAAGACTCGACAATTCTTAACAACGAGCAACACTTAATCATCCAGAACGTAACTGAAATTCATGACAGCACTCAAGCTTGTGTTCAAAATATCTTCTCATTTTAACCTTTATTAAGACATATATTTAAGAGACAACCCATGAGACTACTGAACATAGCTCAACAGAGCCGAGCTAAGGGTGAAGGGTGAGGCCTGACATTTTGTAGTTATATAATACTAAACCTGATCAAGGGTGTGGGTGTGGGTATGAGTGTTGATCATCTTGTTAATAATACCC